AACAGGGGGAGAACAGGTGTGAGCTTGTTATGGAACAGATTTTTTGTGTCTCCTTGGCCACTGAAAGCTAAAAGTTGAATTTCCTCCATTTTGAAGCAGCAATGAGGAGAATCTGAGACTGGAAGGTCCCTGAGGAGCAGCTGGTGCTGGAAGCTGTCCCTGCCATAGTGAATTCCCTGTGACATCATTCCTTAAAGGCCTCCAGACTGATCCCTGGATCCCAGCATGGCCTGTCAGCTGGTTTTTACTGAAACACTTGTTTAATTCTTAACTCACAAGACATTTGCTTATTTATTTTCATTGTTCCTGATAATAATTCTAAGCCATTAGAGGGGAAAATTGTATTCAGAAATGCTGTTTCACACTTTATTTGTTTGATGATTTAGAGCGATAGAAAATAGCACATTTGCTGGCTTTTATAGTCTGATAATTATCCACATCCATCAAGCCCCATTCCAGGGGAATAAACAAAACACCAAGAAAATTACACTATTAATGACATCCTATGATGGCAAAGAGGAAGGATCTTTCTTTTGTGTTAAGGATAAAGAGGGGACTGTCCAGTTAAACTTATATTTGGGAGAAATTCTTCCCTGGGAGGGTGGGGAGGAGCTGGGATGGAATTCCCAGAGAAGCTGTGGCTGCCCCAGCCCTGGAAGGGTCCAAAGCCAGGCTGGAGAAGGGAAGGCTCCAGGGAGACCTGAGAGCCCCTTCCAGGGCCTAAAGGGGCTCCAGGAGAGCTGGAGAGAGATTTGGGACAAGGGATGGAGGGACAGGACACAGGGAATGGTTTCAAACTGCCAGAGGGCAGGGATAGATGGAATATTGGGAAGGAATTCTTCCCTGGGAGGGTGGGAGGCCCTGGCACAGGTTGCCCAGAGAAGCTGTGGCTGCCCCTGGATCCCTGGAAGTGTCCAAGGCTGGGTTGGAGCAACCTGGGATGGTGGGAGGTGTCCCTGCCCATGGCAGGGGGTGGAACTGGATGGGCTTTAAGGTCCCTTCCATAAACCATTCCATAATTCCATATTAACAAAAGCAAACTACCATTATAAGGAGATAATTTTCTCACACATTTGTAGCTTTGGGGCAAAACCTTGTGAACTTATGACCCCAACTCAGAAACTCAGAGAATCATATGAAGGTAGAGAGCAGAAATGCTGGAATTAATGTTTCAGGACACAAGTTTGGAAGCTGAGAGTGTTTCATGTAGAACAGTAAGTTCTGTTTGAGTACAAGTGATACTTGATCCCCTTCAGGGACTTTGTGTTGTTTTGGTGGGAAGTAGAAAAAGGTGATTGGAAAGGCTCAGGATATCACGTTCAGATTGTTGACTTTGGGGTGAGGTGACATTTGGGTCGTGTAACTATAACTTTTTTTTTATCCTGAGCTGGTTTTTTCTTTCCCCACCCTGTAAATCTCCTGTTCCCTGGCAGAGCAGCAGCACATCATTCACGCTGCAATCCCACAAATTGCTGAGTGGCAGCTTTTTGGGGGAAGCTTGGCCTTTTGTCTTGGTCAACCACTGCAAGACTGACCCTTGGCATTAGTCCCTTGGTTTGTTTGCAAGCTCAGTTCCTTGGAATTTTGATCTACCCTCAAACAGCTGCTGCTTTAGCACTATCAACATAAACTTGGCTTTTCTGGGGGGACCAGGTTGAACCAGGAGGGGACAAATTCTGCCCTGGCTCAAGGTCAGTGTTTCCAGCACTGTTGGGTTCTCTGGTGGCTCTTGCAGGGTTTTTCTCTGCAGCAGAAATAGTCTATAAAAAGATGGTTCTTAAGAAAGGCTGTTCAAATATTTATGCTGCCACCATCACTTCTTTTTACTTGAGGTTGTTTGGGGGAGTGGAAAATCCTTTCTTCATCCAGGTGAGTCCTGCTCCACACCTGCTCCAACCCTAACCCAAAACTGCCCCTGCCAAGGGCTGGAAGCCTCAGGCAGTTCTCAGTCCAACAGTCCTGACACATCCCAATCCATGGAGACTGAGTCTGTTTTGGCCAATTGATATAAAAGTGGTATTTTGCTTCTTTTGAAGTTTTTTTTCCTTCTCTGCCCTTGTCTTTGTGGAAAGCATTTGTCTGTGATCTGAATGGGACAGAGGAGGGGAGGAGTTTTACACGTGTCTTAATTTTTTAGTTTTCTTTTTCAAGGTTTTCATAGGGCAGAGGAGGGTTCTTTGTATTTTTCTAGAGAAAATACATTTAATATTTTAGCCAGGAGATTTAAAGAAAAATAACCACCAAAAAAAAAAAAATTGTTAAAGCATTCAAAGCTATGCATCTAGAAAAGGAAATTCTTGGATGTGCTTTTGCCTGGGGGTTGTCCCTGGAATTAAAGCTTTGCAGTTGAGCTGAGCCCCAGCTGTGGGGGCTGAGCCACACCAGGACTTTTGTCCCCGCCACGTGCTGGATGTTTTTCCCACTGGAAGCAGGAGGACACCCAAAAAATTTTATTTATTGCTCCAAAACTGCAGCAACTCCTTTGACTGCAGCAATTGTGAATGTTTGCATTGTTGTTCTGCCTCCCAGTCAATCAGCTGATGTGGAGATGGAGCTCAATCTGTTCCCAGCCTTCTGTTCCTCTTGCTGGCTCTAAACAGCAGCCCAAATTCTGCCTTTATTGCCTGTCTCTGTGTAAATCACTCAGATCTGTGAGCAGAACTCAAAGCACAATTTGACCTACTTTGAATCCTCTCCTGCTGTTAATTTTGTGAATCCTCTAAAAGAAGTGCAGGGGGGGGGATGTGTGGTGGGCTCAGCTTCCTAAAGCCCGGCCCAAAGAAAAAAGTGAGTTTCTAAAGTGGGAGTCAGCTCTTACCACTCTGTGCTGGGCTATTTTCATTTCTCTATTATTACATATAGTTCTTTTTTATAAGCTGGAAATTCCTCCTCTCTGGCTGGTTTCTATCCAAGCAAGTCCTTTTTCTTTGGCTCTCCACGGGCTGTTCTCTAAAGCCTGGCTTGGCTTTTTGCAGGCTGCAGTTTCAGATAACACAATAACCATGTTCCAATGTATTAAACTTTTAACATCCTCAAGATTCAATTAATCTTATCTTTACAACTCCCAATTACAGGCACTAATTAAGTGAAGGTTGCATTGTAGACTGGGGATATTACATTAATCATCAGCAGCCTTGTAGCCATAAATTAGTTCTTTCCCAATCCTTCAGCATTTTTCCCAGAAGGAATGGAATGTCTCATTTCCCTGTTTTAAGGGACATTAATCCCACAAAGGAGCTTTGGATCGGGATTAGTTTTATCACATTTATGTAAGTGATGAATGGTCTTTGTAAAATAAAAGCCACCAGCTTTGTCCCACACAAATGGAATTGAATTGTTTGATAATTATGCAATTTAAGGCCCTGTCAAACTTTGGTCAGGGGATGTTGGGAGTCCATTGCTGGATTTATTATTTTACAAGATTAGGGGCTACACAGTGTTTTGCCTGAAATTTTTGTTTTAAGCCATCAGTTGAAATCAGCTTAATGTCTAAATCTTGAAGCCCCCTGTGTTTGATTTCTGTCCTGTGTTATCCTCCCAACCTGCCAGGCCACAGCAGGTGCATTTTGATTTTGTAATACAGGAAATATGGCTTTTATCTGCTCCTCCTTACATTGCAGACTCGAGTTTTAGACTTGAAAATCGAGGAGTTGGCTGAAATTCCTCTCAACTCAGGTGTGTTTTGAGCTCTTGTCCTAAGCAGAGCAATGTGTGCACCTGCTGTTGAGATGGTGCAAATTCCCCCCTGCAATATCCTGTTTGCAGCTTGTTGTAATGAGGCCTGATGGCTTTGACATCTTTATTGGAAATAGCAAAAATAATGCATTTTTTATTGTTCTCTTTGAAGAGAACTTATTGCTGGCAGTAAATGCCATTCTCCCAAATGTAAATTCTCAGAATTCTCCAGCACCAAAAGCAGGGAGAGCCACGTTTCACTCTCTGCACTGTGTAACCAGTGATTTACAAATTTCCACTGGCAAGATTATGTGTGGCATCATGTTAAACACACTCAAGTATTTATCATTTGTCAGGGTATTTCCTTCCCTCCTTAGAACCTGAACACATAAATCTCAGTCACCTGATTTCTGATTTTTTTTTTGCTCCTGTGAATATTCAAAGCACTGAGGGAACTGAAAGCTTTTGGAAGAGAAAGGAAAGTGGTTTTTGGACACGATGGTCACACACAGCTCTTTGGCTGTGACCTCTGGGACTTCAGGCACTTAATTGTTTTTCCAGTTTTATGTTCAATAATTTGCACTCCAAAAAAAATTTTCAGCCAAATCCTTTCGCACCCTTTTTACCCCTAATCTTACAAAACTTTAAGAAGTGTAGAAGATTGTTCTTTGTACCCTTTAAAGTTGTTTTTCCTCAGCAGGCCCTTCATTTTCATTCACCTCAGTGAGAAAATTATGGAATGTTTTAATTCCATTATTCCCATCAGCCAATAAAATGCAGCACAGACATAAGGATTGAGCCATAACTGCTTCAGCCATGGGGAAGAATATTTACTTTTTGGAACAAAATGAAAACTATTTGCACAGAAAATAGTTGTATTCCAAAGCACACAGACCCTCCTTCACACCTTTTTCAGCCCATCCAACATTTCTTGCTTGTTAATCTTCAGCACAATTTTATTTTTGCAGATCTGTTTCCAATGGAAAACACACCTGCTGTTCCCTGCACTGATTTTTTTCTGGTTTTCCAGTGCTGGAGCATCACTTTGTCTCCTCGATTTTCCTTCTACCTTGTGAAATCTTGTGATGCTCTTTTAGAAAATAACACACCTCTAAGGAGTTTTGTTAAAATCCAGGGTTTCTCCCATGCATTGTGTGTTCCTGATGCCTTTCAGGGGTATAAAATTTGGGTTTATTTCCAGGCAAGGTGTGCTGTGCTGAAGGTTTTTCCCCCACTCGTTCCTGGCCTTCTTCTTTAGCTGGTTTTTCCATTGCAGACATTACATTTTACATTTTGGTGTTTAATTCCCTGTTAATCTCTCCCAGGTATGCCATCCCTCCGGAACACGGCAAGAGGCTGGAACGCCTGGCAAAAGGTGAGCTTGGAATTCTCAAGGGATTGACAAAGAACTGGCACTGAACTGGCTGTTAGAATTTACTCTTGCCAAGAGCTGCTGGAGGAACCTGCTGCCTTGGTGGAGCCAAAAAACTTGGCAGGGGCTTTTCCTTTCCTCAAAGCCTCTGTTTGTGGCACACCATGACCCCGACTAAAATTGCTTGGAAAAGCCTTAAGTTTTGAGCCATTTAGACCAAACCCTTCCATGGCTGGGCAGGGGGTTTAATCACAGAATTCCAGAGTGGTTTGGATTGGGTGGAACCTTAAAACTCCTCCAGCTCCATCCCAGGAACACCTTCAACTATCCCAGGTTGCTCCAAGCCTTGTCCAACCCTTGGATACTTCCAGGGATGGGGCAGCCACAGCTGCTCTGGGCAACCTGTGCCAGGGCCTCCCCACCCTCCCAGCCAGGAATTCCTTCCCAATATCCCACCTAAACCTTCACCTTCTTGGACAATGGGGATTTGTCCCCACTTGTGTTGTTCCAGAGGTGTGAAGTGCAGCCCGGGGCTCTCCTGGTTCTGCAGGGACAAAGGGAGGCAGGAACTGGTTCTTCTGACACTCCAAATGTTACATCTGCAGCCTTAGCAACTTTATTATTATTAATTATTTTCAGCCTTAATTAGGGAAGCGCTCAGAAATTCAGCAACACCTTTATCATCACACCATGGAATGTTAAGGGGTTGGAAGGGACCTTAAAGCCCATCTCATTCCACCCCTGCCATGGGCAGGGACACCTCCCACTGTCCCAGGTTTCTCCAAGGCCTTGGACACTTCCAGGGAAGGGACATCCAGAGTTTCCCTGGACAACCTGTGCCAGGGCCCCACCACCCTCACAAGAAAAACTTTCCTAATATCCCACCTAAATTTCCCCTCTTTCAGTCTGTGCCAGTTACTCCTTCACCCTCTAATGTTGTGTATTTGCTCATTTTCCTCCTATTTTAGCCTCATCCTCCTTTATTTTCGGTGCAATAAAGACCAAATTGAAAAAAAAAAAAAAAACAGACAATGAAAGATAAAAAAAAAGAAAGGGAAATGCAGGGGAGGGGGAAGGTCAGAGTTAGTTTGGGCTGTGGTGAACTCCCACCTCTCAAGCTTCAGGGGAGATGTCTGCCTGCAGAAATCTCTATTTTTTAATTTTTTAATTGATGTTGTTGCTGTTTTTGGTCACTTGCAAACGTTCCTGGAGCTGCCCAGCTAAAACCAGCTCCTGCCCCAGAATAATTAACTCCAAACCTCCGGGGGTTCATCTCCAGCCAGGCCAAGGGGGAGGGTTTGAACCTGGGGGGGAGTGAAAAGCAGGCAGGAAAATCTGGAGGGCCCTGTTTGGATTCAAAAGAAAAGAAGTTCTGAGATTGATTTTCCAGCAAAGAAGCAAATTCAGTGTAATGCCATTTCCTGCTGACAGTCTGACATTTGATTGAATCAAATCGAATTTATTAATAAATTAATTAAAAATATAAATAATAAATAAAATAATTTTAAATTAAATAAAATTTTAAAATAAGAATATTATTAATAACTAAATAAAAATTGAATAAAATTTATAATTTCATTTAATAAAATAATAAATAATAAATAAAATAAATAAAGCCGTTTTAATAATAATAAATAGAAATTAAAAATATAAGAATAAAAATAATTAATATAATAATAAAATAACAGAATAAAATAATAGGATAAAAATAGAATAAAAATAATAAATAGAATAAAATAGAATAAAAAATAAAAATAATTGAATAAAAAGAATAAGAATAATAAGAATAAAATAATGGAATAAAAAATAAATATAATACTAAAATAAAATAATACAATAAAATTATAAATATAATAAAGTAGAGTACAAAGAACAAAAATAATCGAATAAAAAGAATAAATATAATAATAAAATAAAATAAAAAGAATAAAATAAGAGAATAAAAAGAATAAATATAAAAATAGAATAAAAATAATAAAATAATAGAATAAAAGTAATAAATATAATAATAAAATAAAAAGAATAAAGTAATAGAACAAAATAATAGAATTTGAAAAGTAATTTAAAAAGGAGAGAGTGCCAAGGGGTTCAGCTGACTGTGTGGGATAAATGTAGAACAACTGGGCATGAATTTCCTAGGGCAGGGTAGTGTTGTTTTCCTGTGCACTGAACTCTTTGATCCCTTAAACCAAATAATATTAGAACTGTCTGCTGAGAAATGGTGCATTTCAAAGCTGCACTTCAGTCATTTGCCAGGTTTTAACAGATAAAAAAGTGATTTTTCTAGGAAGTCAGTCAGTCCAGAGGACTTGTGTTCTGCAGGCTCTGAAATCCCCCCCAGCTCTGACAGAATTAATAATTAAGTTTCTTGCTGTCTGTAACTAATTTTTACGGGTGATCGATTTTTGGACGGTTTGTGACGTAAAACCAGAAGGAAATTATCAGTGATCTGGTCTTTATTTTAGTTTTCTGGCCTGTTGGAAGGTGGGATGGGGGATGTTTCACAGCTCCAAGGAGGCCCTTTTGCTCCCTGGCCATTCCCTCTGTCCTCCCCATCCATGGGCTGTTCCAGGGACAAGTTTACTCTGGAGAAACGAGGGTGCAATTAATATGGAAAATGAATAGCTGAGCTGGAAATGGGCTCCCTGGGAGAGCTGGGGAGCCCACGGAGAGCATGGTAATGTGTTGCCATGTTATTGGTGCTAATCACTTAAAATGGGCTTCTTTATTAGTGGCTTTAATGAGAGCCACTTCAACTGTGCATTAAAAAGAGGGACTGCAGAGAGGAACGACAGGCTGGGTAGCAGACAGTCATAATTTTAATTGAAATGCTTTTAGTACAAAAATGTTGAGAAAACCTGGAATCCAGTAATCCTTTTCTCTTTCCGAAACCCTTTCCATTATGTCTCATCAATTACTTTTGTTTCCAGAGCTTGGCTTATTTATTTTCCTAAATGGGGACGGGTTTGAATCCCTGTAAACACACAACTTGTCACTGAGTCACCCACTCAGAGGAGAAAACACATGATCTTGAAGAAAATGGGGTTCCATTTGTTGGCATCGAGGAGTTTATTCAGTTTTTACCACCGTTTTTAGTATTCTTAATTATTTGGGGTTGTGGATCCTGTAACTGAGGTGGGCTTTGATGGTGCTGAGGTCCTGACTGGGTCAGGTCCTGCTGTCTCTGCCACTTCTTAGTGACCACTGAACGTGTCCCTCCTGCCCCTGCCTGGGAGGGAGATGTTTTACTTCCTTTCTTTTCCCTGAATATTAACATTTACATGCTGATTTTTCCCTTCAGGGGGTGGTCTGTAGGGCAGATTGCTCTGGAATCTAACAAACTGTATAACTTGCCCAAGAATATTCCAGCAGCCCACCAGGGGAGGTATAAAAAGGATGTGGGAGTGCTTGGAGTAGGTGGTGCAGGCTGGGGCTTTTTCCTTGTCTGTATTCAGAAAAAAGGGGGTCAGGGTTTGGGGTACCAGCCAAAATCTAAGAGAGGCAGGTTATGTTTCTTAATTTTCAGGGGTTTACTGATATTTTGGCCAAGATACTTATACCCAGACAGAGAAGACTTAGATGCAAACTCTCATTTTGAAGGGAATTCAGACTTGAGTCAACACTCTCAGGGACAGGGGGAGATTCTTGAGGTGTCCTGTTCAGGGCCAGGAGTTGGACTCAATCCTCGTGGTTCCCTTCCAACTCAGGATATTCCATGTTTCTATGATTTAGGTATCTCCATGTGCAAGTTTTTGTCACAAAATTTATGCAGTTTTTAAAAAACGTGCTAATTCCTGCCATCCTGCTTGTCTGCTTTTGTTTTATCTGCATGAATAAGGCAGATTTTCATTTATCAGCTTGTCTCTGCTTAACAAATCCATGGGCTGTGACACCCCTGTAGTGATATTCCTCCTTTGAATGTCTCCACAGGATTTTTCCCAGGGAGCTCTCAGGGATGTGATGCTTTCCTCCGTCACAAGATGACCCTCATTTCTCCCTCCATCCTGAAGAAATACGGGATTCCCTTCGACCGGGTACGTCCAGGGATGCAGGGAACACACTGGCAGGGTGGTGGGGTGCACAGGGCACAGCGCCTCTCTTTTGAGGGAAAAATTCCCTGGGGAGAGATTGGTTTAATTTCTAAGTGCATTGTTATGCTGAATGTGTCCCGTTGGTTCAGACCAGGAGAGGAGCATTTGGGTTTTTGGCTGAGACACCGTGAAGTGAAAAAAAAGCTTCCACTGAACAAACTCTGGCAATTCAGGAGCCTCTCAGGTAGGGAGAGACAGGCTAATCCAGATGTTCTGGCTTATCAATCATAGAATTATAGAATCATAGAATCAGAGAATCAGCTGGGTTGGAAGGGACCTCCGAGATCATCAAGTTCAACCCTTGATCCAACCCCGCTGTGGTTCCCAGCCCAGGGCACTGATGCCACATCCAGTCTCAGCTTAAAAACCTCCAGGGATGGAGAATCCACCCCTTCCCTGGGCAGCCCATTCCAATGGCTGAGCACCCTCTCTGCAAAGAAATTCTCCCTGATATCCAACCTGAACCTCCCCTGGCACAGCTTCAGACCCAGCCCTCTTGTCTTGCTGATGGTTGGTTGGGAAAAGAGACCAACCCCCCCCTGGCTCCCCCCTCCTGTCAGGGAGTTGCAGAGAGTGAGGAGGTCTCCCCTGAGCCTCCTCTTCTCCAGGCTGAACAGCCCCAGCTCCCTCAGCCTCTCCTCATAGGACTTGTGCTCGAGGCAGCAAAGCTCTTTGGTGAGTCAGGAACACTTATTTTTTCCCTGTGGATGCAGCAGGAGCCCAAACTGGACGTGCTGGTTCCCTGTTGTGTAAGTGCTCTAAGCCTGGAAGGATCCCTGAGTCTCTTAAACCCTCTTTTTTCAGCTGAGGGGTCATGTTTGTTTGGTATGATCGTTTTAATGTGCTTATTCTTAAAGTCTTCTGAAGTAAATCTCCTCAGCCAGGCTTACAGGGATTTGTATCTGGGCAGGATCAGTCAAACCTCTGCTGTGCTGAGTGTTCCCGGCACACGGAGCCCGGCCTGCCTTGGGATGTGGGAAGTGTCAAAGAATTCCTGGGCCAAACTGATCTCACAGAATCCCACGGTGGTTTGGGTTGGAAGGATCTTAAAGCCCATCCAGTTCCACCCCCTGCCATGGGCAGGGACACCTCCCACTAGCCCAGGGTGCTCCAACCTGGCCTTGGACACTCCCAGGGCTGGGGCAGCCACAGCTTCTCTGGGCATCCTGTGCCAGGGCCTCCCCACCCTCTCGGGGGAATTTCTTCCCAATATCCCATTTAAATTTCCCCTCTTTCACTTTGAAGCCATTCCCTGTGTCCTGTCCCTCCATCCCTTTTCCCAAATCCCTCTCCAGCTCTCCTGGAGTCCCTTCAGGCCCTGGAAGGGGCTCTCAAGTCTCCCTGGAGCCTTCTCTTCTCCAGCCTGGCCTTGGACACTCCCAGGGCTGGGGCAGCCACAGCTTCTCTGGGAATTCCATCCCAGTCCCTCCCCACCCTCCCAGGGAGGAATTCCTTCCCAATATCCCATCTAAATTTCCCTTCTTTCACTTTGAAGCCATTCCCTGTGTCCTGTCCCTCCATCCCTTGTCCAAAGTCCCCCTCTACCCTTCTCCATCCCTTTTGCATCATCACCTCTATATGACCATATTTTTCCAAGAACTCTCACATTCTGTTAATTATATTTTTTAGGCATAGTTTAGTCAGAGTTAATCCACCTGAGACCTCTTTGCTGAGCCTGCTGATTCTTTGAGATGGAAGTAAAAGATCTTGGCTCTTCTATAGCATAAAAACCTATGAATTCATTCAATTCAGTGCTCCAGGGACTGTTTGATTTTTCCTGGGGGGGGGGTTATGATGAATGAAATTTGAAATGGGGTCATCTGGCTCATCAGATGAGCTTCCATGGACCAATGTGGTGCTTCTGGTTCAACATCACTGCCTGGACTTGGCCTAGTTAGTTGATACTAAATTGTTCATGGAGAACAACAAACCATTTTTTCCTGTAATTCCATCAGTGGAACCTGATTCCCAAGTGGGAAAATACAGGTACCTGCTCCACAGAGTTGCAAATAATAATGAAAATATCTAATTTGAGGATCTTGGCTGTGCCAGAGGTTGGAAAGGGAAGGAAGTTCTTGCAGGACTTAAAATGTTTGCATGCTGTAGGTGGGCAGATTTTCCTCCAGAATAAACATTATTATATATTTGTTTTTCCATTTGTCCGAGGAAAGTAGCACTGACTAGTAATTTTATATTTATATATAAATATAATCACTAAGTGATTTCTGATCAATAACCAAGCAGGGGCAGCAAAGGAGTTTGTAAAAAAAGGCAATAGAAGGAAAAACTTTCCTTCCAAACTTACTCCAAGTCATCTTTGCTGAGCTGTATTTGATAGGGATGGGTTACAAAGTGGTTTAAATAAGGGAGTTGCCAATTTATTGGTTGGTAAAAAGTCTTCACCTGCTGAGTGAGGTGTCCCTCTCTGAATCCTGTGATTTGTGACATGAAGGATGTTTGCAGATTGATGGCTGGTGTCTCCATGCTGAGTATAAGTAGTTGTCTTAAAGCTAAAAATCTGCTTTTTGTCTTCCTATTTTTTACCCAAATAAAGGAGAGACCAGTGTACACAGAGGACAATATTAATGTCGACACCAAACTTCCTTTTTTAAAGCAAATGACTTAAATATACTTACATAAAATTATTATAGCATGTCACTTAAATATACTCAAATATAATTATTATAGCATCTTGCTTAAATATCACTCCTAATCCTGATTTATAATGTGTTTTTATGATAATTACTGCCCTGGAAAGCTGGTTTTAGGTGTAAAAAGGTGGAGATCTCTTCAGTTTGAACAACCTGTGTCTGAAGCCTCCTGTCCTGAAATAGGAGCTTTTGGAGGAGGGTCACTGTTATTCACAAACAGGGAACAAGTGCCATTTTTTCCTCTGGGAATAGAGATAGGATCCCTCCATCTGAATTCTTGGCAGATTTCAATGAAGTGAATAGGCAGCATTTATAAATCCCTAGAATGGTGTTCTGGAAAAAAAAAGGAACCAGATCAATGCGAGGGCTTTTTAATAATTAAAAATGTGTATTGCTGTAATCTCCTATTGATTTCTCCATTTATTCCTCAAGAGCTTGCAGGAGTCAGTAAATTTGGGGCTTTCTCCGTGAGTGGCAGTTTGTGCTGGCTCTCCTTCACTAGTTATTACTTTTCTGCATGGCCTATCCATCATCTTGAGGGCTTTCTAATTTATTGTGGGCTAATGTTGACAGCAGTGCCAGGGCTGACACACACTGTGGGCTCCAAATGAAGACACCAGGATGGAGATTTACTGACAGAAACATAATCTTTGTGTCTCTTGGAGTTACAGCTGGAGCTCTGCCGGGATTTCTGGAGGGGATGGATGGGGGGATGCTCTGGGTGAAGGCTGGACTCGAGCAACTCATCCAGAAATCCTGCAGGAGCTTCTTGTGTTATCACAGCAGATTTTAGTACCTATTTTTTAATTATTCTACGAATGTTAACGACATCAGCAAGTTCAGATGTTGGCCCAGCCAAGTGAAAAGTGTTTGAACTTCCCTCTGTTTCCATTTCCCATTTGGGCCCATCCTTGTGTTTGGAAGTGCAAGTCCTCTGGAATCTCCGAGCTCCTGGGCTGGGATTTGTGGCTGGTGGGAAGGGATCCCAATGGAATTGCCTGGCATGTGACTGCTGGGAAAGGTCTGTCAGCACTTCTGGTTGGAAAGGCAGGGAAGGTCCAGCTTTGCCTCTCTGCTAATCCATGGAAGGGAGGTGCTGTCACACACCTGCTGAGCTGGGGAGCTGCTCCCAGCCCACTCTGGGACATCCAGTTTGCCCTCAGGAGTCATTCCAAACTCTTTTACAATTGAATTCCTTGTTTCCCCAATGGCTTCTCTGCATAAGATGTAAAAAGAGGATTTTTTTTAGAAGCATCACAAATTTATTTGGCCTCTGGTTCCAGCTGTAGAGTTTAACCCTTTTTTTTAATGGTGGCCATAATGCTTATTGTTGTTTAATTTTAATAAAGCAGAATCACAGAATGGTTTGGGTTGGAAGGGACCTTACAGACCATTTAGTTCCACCCCTGCCATGGGCAGGGGCACCTTCCACCATCCCAGGTTGCTCCAGCCTGGCCTTGGAGACTTCCAGGGATGGGGCAGCCACAGCTTCTCTGGACAACTTCCAAAGCAGACGAATGATGGGCTGTAATTTTTAAGGTGTTTGACTTTTGGGTGAACAAATGGGAGTGAGGCTGATAAATGTGAGTGGGGAAATAAATCCAGGGAAAGGCAGGAGGTGCTTCAGTAGGACCCTGCTGTTTAGAGGAGGGAAATCCAGAGTTCTTGGCTCCTCTGGCCTGGTGGTGGGAGTGTGGGTTTGGACCTGCCATGAGCCAAAGTTGTCACAGTCTGAGGATTTATTGATCTCTTGGAATGCTGCAGCCTGAGAGCCTTTGAACTAGAACCTGTGGGTGTAAATAGTTCAGAGCATGTGCCCTTTCCATCCACTGTTCTGGGCTTTTTCTTTAGGAGAAATACTTCAGTATTTTTGCAGTTGTCCAGGAATTATTCCAGGTTTAACCGGGAGCTGGCAGTGACTGTCCCGCTGACCTCCGGATTGAAAGGAAGAGATTTAACTGGTGGATTTTTTAATAGGTCTCTGTTCTGTACATTAACTGACCTGTGGGGTGTCTCCTCCTTTTGCCTTTGTTTTGCAGATCACCCAGGAAGCTGGAGAGTTCATGATCACATTCCCTTATGGATACCACGCCGGCTTCAACCACGGCTTCAACTGTGCCGAGTCCACCAACTTTGCCACTTTGAGATGGATTGACTATGGAAAAATGGCAACCCAAGTAGGTGTCAGTTGGGATGAAGTGTTATTTAAAACCCCCAGCTCATGAAATACAGAGGAATGAGAGAGGGAGACTTCAGGACAAGATGGGAAGTGCCACTGTGATGTGCTCTGTCACCGTCCCCTGTGGCTGTTTTATTCCTGTTGGTGGTTCCTGTCATTCTGAGGGTGTAGTGAGGACTTTCTCAGCTGCTGGGTGTTACAAACACCCTGTGAGCAGGTGCTTTGGAGATTGGTAATTCAGAATTAGTTTTCTGATGCAGCCAAACTGCATTTCACAATGAGTGGGGTGACTGATGTAACCAAGCACAACTCATTAGGTGCACACTGGAGGGGAAGGAATAAGCTGGAAATACTTTTAAGCTTTAATAAGACTATGGTAATAACATTCTGAGAATACCTGAATTCCTCTGATCTGTGCACTCAAGTTACATTTGGAGAGGAGAGTCAGGCTGAAATATGTGGTTATTTCTCATTAGGGCAAATTTCTGTTATGTTTTGTTACTTTGTTTTTGCAACAACTCACCTCATACATTCTCCTGGAGTCTGCATTTTGGAGTCTGGAGAACAACTGATCAGCAAAGCTCATTCAATGAATCTGTGAATTTTTAAATTAGGGATCAGTTCCACACAGGGCAAAAGAGAAATGAATGCAGAAGGGGTGGCACTTGAAAATTGCCTTAGATCTTTTCAGAAAGAAAGACTCAGTTTTCCCCCTAGAATGGCACTTGTAATCTCTCTCCTTCACTTCTTTTTCTTCTATCAACTCAGCTTGAGTCTGTAACTTTTGTAATGCAGCCTAATGCTTTCTTGTTCTTCTAAAATAAGCAGATTTTATTATTTCATTGGGTCCTTAAAGCCCATCCAGTCCCACCCCCTGCCATGGGCAGGGACACCTTCCACTAGTCCAAGTTGTTCCAAGCCCTGTCCAGCCTGGCCTTGGACACTTCCAGGGATGGGTCTTCCATTTGAATTTGTTCTGGAGTTAAAGGGAAGGGTAAGAAAAACCTTAAACTCAAAAAACAGCCAAGCAAACTTGGTTTAGAAATGCAAAGAATGGTTTTTGTGTGCTGTGACCTTGTCTGGCAGGTTTATCTGCAGCCAACGGTCCCGGTATTACACCCCAGAAACTGGGGTTTTATCAGAGAAATTCGGGCAGCCCCTTCACTACAGCAGCTCCAGCTCAAATATTAAAAGCAATTTTGGGTTCAGCCATGTGTTCCCAAACAAAGTGACATTTGGGAAGTGCAGTTTTAGATGCTCACATTGTCGAGCAGCAGAGCGTGAAATTACTGAACAAGCAGCAGCGAGAGCTCTGAGCAAAGCTGGGCAGAGGAAGGGGAAATGTGGAAGGAAATGCCCAATTTATTCCCCCTGCACTCAGTGCCACTTGTCTGTTCTGAGCTTTCTGGTTAATATTGCTCAAGTCACGTGTTAATTAACCCTTGGGTGGCTGGGTGTTGTGCTCCAGGTGAGGTGTGAGTGTTGTCACACTCTGAGGGCAAAAGGTTTGTTTAAATCTCATTTGAAGTTAGAGGGCTTAAGGAAATACCAGCTGAAGGTGGAAACTGGAGCTACCTGGTGTTTGTGGGGAGAGAATTCGTGGAGAGAAGTTCTTCCCTGGGAGGGTGGTGAGGCCCTGGAACAGTTTATCCAGAGGGGTTGTGGACTCCCAGTCCCTGGAAGGGTCCCAGGCCGGGTTGGACAGGGCTTGGAGCAACCTGGGTTGGTGGAAGGTGTCCCTGCCCATGGCAGGGGGTGGGACTGGATGGGCTTTAAGGACCCAATAAAACAATAAAATCTGCTTATTTTAGAAGAACAAGAAAGCATTAGGCTGCATTACAAAAGACTCAAGCTGAGTTGATAGAAGAAAAAGAAGTGAAGGAGATATTACAAGTGTAATGTCCCTTTAAGGTCCCTTCCAAGCCAAAGCATTCTGGGATTCTGTGATCCTCCAGTGTGTGATTTCTGTGCTCTCAGGCACAATTGGATTATCCTTGCCCACATCCAGCAGGTTTGGTTTTTTCCTGGTCATACACCCCCTGATCAAGTTCTTGGGGAGTCTCAGCTGGGCAAAGCTCTGCAGGAACCTGCTGTTCCTGCACTAAACCAGCTGGCTGGAGGTGATTCCCTCCATTCCTTGGCTGATCAGCTGGGCTCTCTTGTCCTGCCAGCACTTCTGAGATTGGTGACAAGGCAAGGTTGATAATTAGCCACTTGTACTGTTCTCCTGGACATTATCCTGGGGAGGAAATTTGGATTCTGCTCTACTGAGAGCGATGCTCGTCAGTGGGGTGGTGAGAGAGGAAGGGAATGGCTCACCCTGGAGAAACTGTGCTAATTCCCTGCCAGATGGGTGGAATGTTCTGACCACAGAGAACCTGCCCAGGCTGTAAAAAATACAGAATAACCTGAAGTGGAAAGATCAGCTTCTGAGGTGCTGGTTCTGCTCCAGCTGTAGAACAATTGTCAGTATTAGCTAAAAAATAAGAATGGCTGCAGAGTTTCTGGGGAACCAATTATTTCTTTTTTATTTTTGCACCCTGAACCTGCATTCCTTTCTGCATTCCTGCTTTTTTGTTTCTGAAGACCCTTGGATGCCACCACAGAGGATGTTGGAAGCTGTGTCTTTGACCTTACAACCCTTTTAAAGCCAAGGGGTTCAGTGAAATGTCCTTCCCCAAGTCGAGGTGGCCTCTAAATCTGCTGTACAAAAAGCTCCTTTCTTTTTATACAGTCTTGGTACAATTTGAGCAGAAATTCAAGTTCCCAGGTCAGCTTTTCAATTTCTTTTGGAAACTGGACTGGAAATAAGTGGATGGGAGGGGAACAATTCCTGCACAGACATTCCTGGATAATTTCTGGGTTCCTGTCAACACTTCCATACCTTCATTTACCTCCTCTTTGCTCCAGGGATACTGCTGGAATTATCTATTTGATATAAAATAGGGTCAAGTTGCCCTTCCTTCCCAAATCTTACATTTTAGGTTCTGAAATAAGTAGCCTTTATCTCATCCCAGGCAGTATTCCCATAAAACCCTCCCTGCTCTGCTGCTCAGTCATTTAGGGAAGGGGAAAACAAGACTTTTCCATTTGGATTTCCCTGATCTACAAAGGCATCTTCAAAACAGGGACCTTTTGGATCTCAGCCTGTGCTCTTTTACGTGGCTTATTGCTTCTAAACCTTCTCCTCCCTTGCTTTAATATATATATATATTTATACTATTGAAATAATCTCAAATTTATATGTGGAATATCTGTGATTTCAAGTTGTCTGAATTGAAGCTTCTTACTATTCAGATCTTAGTAAAACACCAATATTTCCCAAGAAAATAAAATTTGTGAGGTGTTTTTTTGCAGAAACTGTTTGGTAATACTGTAAAATTGCTCCCCAAAATAAGAGACATCAGAATTGTATTTTTGCATCACTTTATGTCTGTGCCTTAACTGACTCTAATTAGACCTTTTTGAGCTTAGAACACATAAAAAAAATCTATTATGAAATAGCATTTCCATAGTTTATTTTTGTCAGACATTCAGAATTGCTCTTTTACTCTAATTAGACCTTTTAAGCTTAGAATACATTAAAAAAAAATCTATTATGGAATAACATTTCCATGGTTTATTTTTGTCAGATGGATTCAAAGGTGCTCTTGTACAAAATCTTCCACCTTTTTTCCTACTTATTTTCTTGTATTATTTGTAAACACCCCTAATACCTCACTCTGGGCAAAACACTGATTCTGTGCAATAAAAAGGAATTTTTACAGGCTTTTTCCTGCTGAGGTGGAAAGGAGATGGTTCTTTTTTTTTAGGGACTGTCTTGAAGCTTTGTGTTATGAGCTGTTTTCTGAGCTCCTCTTCTGAAGGACTGACTGGGACGTTCTGCTCATGATTTCTGTTAATGAGGGGAGAACACTGAGAGTTCTGTCAGCAGAATAAATACCTGGAGGTTTCCAGGATTCCAGTCCTTGGGATGCTGCTGGAGCAGATGGATGAGTGTCAGCAGGTACCTGGCCCTTCTGGCTGTCCTGCCCTTGAGAAGGGGCATGTGAGAGACTGGGTTTAAATCCAGACTTATATAGTGTTGTTATATATTTTATATTATATATTATAAACTGTTCAGGATGTTGTTCACAGGGAATGGGACAGGGATGGGGACAGTGGTGGCTTCAGGCACCTCAACTCCCTCCTGCTCAGAGCTTGGCCTAACCCTGAGCACTGAACTGGGGGGTTTCAGACAGATTATTTTAACCAGACTAGGTCAGGTTTAAATGCTCCTCAGCCTAATTTACCTGAGCTTAATTACTGCAAGGTGTAAAGGATGCTCTTTTTTTAGTGCTGCTTAGTCATGGCTTTTCCTGCCCAGGGTGACTGCTGTCCTCTGGGATGGGAACTGCTGATCTCCAGGATGGGAACTCCAGGATGGGAACTGCTGTTCTCCAGGATGGGAACTGCTGATCTCTGGGATGGGAACTGCTGATCTCTGGGATGGGAACTGCTGATCTCTGGGATGGGAACTGCTGTTCTCCAGGATGGGAACTCCAGGATGGGAGCTGCTGATCTCTGGGATGGGAGCTGCTGATCTCTGGGATGGGAACTGCTGATCTCTGGGATGGGAAGCTGCTGATCTCTGGGATGGGAACTGCTGATCTCTGGGATGGGAACTGCTGATCTCTGGGATGGGAACTCCAGGATGGGAACTGCTGTTCTCTGGGATGGGAACTGCTGATCTCTGGGATGGGAACTGCTGATCTCTGGGATGGGAACTGCTGATCTCTTGGGAACTTCTGTTCTCTGGGATGGGAGCTGCTGATCTCTGGGATGGGAACTGCTGTTCTCTGGGATGAGAGCTGCTGATCTCTGGGATGGGAGCTGCTGATCTCTGGGATGGGAACTGCTGATCTCTGGGATGGGAACTACTGTTCTCCGGGATGGAAAACTGCCCTGAACCCCTGGAGTCTGATGTTGCAGGGCTGGCACAGTGTCCCAGTCCCTCCC